TCTTTAGTACTATCCCTAAAGGTGAGACTCACAAAGTCTCCAAAGGAGCTGTCGCAAATGGACCCAACACTCTCCCTTCCCATACCTCCTTGGCTATCTTGTCTTTAACCACTGCCTCCATGTCATGTACTGATCTGAGGTTTTGGGCAAAGAATGTTGTGCGGTCCCCTAATGCTGGAATCCTAAAACCTTCCTTAAAACTTTCAAGCAAATAACTGGTATCATCCCAAAAGGGATAATCGCGCACCCATGATTCCAAAGCTATAACCTTAATTGGACTGGGTCCCTTTTCCAGAGTTACCCCCACCCCCATTGGGTTTCCTCCCACCTCCAGGGCCCTTATTTTCCCTTGTGGCACCAGCCCAGAAGCATGTGGTACTGGAGTGCTGCCCCCACACACAATACATTCATGCCTGAATCTGCAGGGTTTCTTGGCGTGCACACCCCTGGAGTTGTACTCCCAGCAGCACAGGTGGGGTTGAACAACCTGCCCCATGCTTACACGGGGAGACAAATTCAGAGTAGTCTTCCTAATCAGGTGCCCACTATCAGTCCTGTCACCTAGACTGGCCCTGGCTAGAGTCATAATCTGCAGCCAGAGACCTGGTAATGGCTCATCCCGGTGTAAATTTGGGTGAATCACACTCCTCATATGGAACAATTCATAAGAGGAAAGCCATGCCTGCCCTGCAAAGTCCACATATGCCCTATAGATGAGATCCAAGTATTGAAATAAGAATTGACCCTGCTAAGGCTGTGCCTTTACTACCCCCCTGCATATATTAGGAATCCGGGGAGCCAATTTGCCCGATTCCTGTCAGGTCTCTTCCTTCTACGTCTCTATTCATCTTTCTCATCCTCCTTATCCAGATCCTTCTTTTCTACATTTCTATTCATCAAATCAAATAAATCTACATATTTACCTGTTCAGATTTTTTCTTTCATTGCAGGGGTGAGGTGGTCACCCAGGGGCATCGCATGATCCCCAAATGGCAATGCTTCCAATGGCACGGTATTATAACCCGTATATGGAACCGAAGGGTTTGGTCAGACACCTACACCAGCAGTTATTGGGGCTGGAAATGTAGGTTGTGGGCATGACGTGGCCCAGCTGCTAAAGTGGGTGCTTGTACAAGGCCACGTAGAACCCAGCCTCCCAAAGCTCTGAATATTATATGGCGTATAATGTGGTAAATTAAATTGCCCGCTGCCTGGCCAAGGCCAGGCAGGAGACAGTGAGGAGGTGCCGGTTGCTGTGGTTTGTCCACTGCCTGGCCAAGACCAGGCCAGGAATGATGGAGTGGTGTCAGAATTCGTGGTCTGTCACAGGGAACTGTGATGTCTGGTGCGAAGGTTGATTCACCAGGCAAAGGCATGGTGACAGTCTCCTCCCTGCCATGCACGGTATCCAGTCCAACCTCCTCCAATGCTTCCTGCACACGTCGAGCCAACGTGCTGTATGCTGCTGTGAGTGGGGTTGCCCTCACTTCCTTTGAACCCATTTGCAGTGCAGTTACCATTGCCTTGTTCTCTTTCTTCCTGGCTATTCCCTCTGCTTCTTGCTCAGCTTCAAAAACAGTAAACCTGTGCATTATGTTCTCTGCCAGAGTTTTAAGCTTAGCCCTGCGATGGCTTTTAAAAGCCCTAGCTGACTGGCGCAACTGCACCTGTTCCTTTTGCCATTCTTGCAGCTTCAAACGCTGCCATTTTATTCTGGAGCTGCTGCCATATGGGCCATGACTCCCAGTCCGAAGTGACACCTGAGGCGTTGGATGCTTCTTGGCCAGTTGTTTCCCTTTTTAATTACCTTGCCCCTTCTTTGAGGCCATTGTGCCCCTCTACTCAAGCTGAATTACAAAAGAACAGCCACAGGATTCCTGCACTTTTGTCACATTCCCGGGGGATTGCAACAGGCAACAGTCCAATAAACCAGTCCAATATCAGAAGTCCAGAAGATGCGAAGCATATGTGGTCCAAAACGCCCTGGTAATTGGTTAACAGGGGTTAAGGAGCAAGGAGTAGAGGAGCAGCCCATTTAGCTGCCTGTTCCTTGAGAAGGCTGACAATGAAGCATACCTTGGTTTTGTCCATGGGAAAGTCTCTGGCACGCAGCTCAATATACAGTTTACACTGTGCCAGGAATGCTGGAAACTCCTCCACCTTTCCTCCAAACTTTTCTGGAGGAAGCAAAGGGCACTTGACCTGGGCAGCAGTGTTGGCCTGGGATTGCAGTTGCTGCTGCTGAAGCTCTGCCCCTGTTTGTGTAAGAAACTGCAACTGAGTAAGCACAGCATTCAGCTGAACAGAACCTTCGCTTGCTTCTCCTTCCATCTTGTGGAGGGAGTATGTGGTGGAAGCAATCTGTCACGTTCCCAGGGGGTTTCAACAGGCAACAGTCCAATAAACCAGTCCAATATCAGAAGTCCAGAAGATGCAAAGCAATGCCAAAATGCCAAAGCCTAAATACAAACCATAATCAGTAGTCAGAGTCCAAAGCCAAGGGTCCAGAGAACAGAGTCCAGGATAAGCAGGAGCGTGGATGCAAGCCACAGTGTTGACTTGTTGCTTCCACAAACTTCCAAACCTCTGGGTGCAGATTTTATAGCAGCAGCAGTCATCTAAACATTTCATTCTGCTAAAACTCAGGGCTGGTCGATCTGATGTTCCTATGGGAAGCATTCATGCGATCCTCTGACCTTCGTGTCATGAGTCTTTGCTGAAGTTTAGCTCTCACTCTGTCTACTGGGGGAGGAGAATCTGATGGTGATTCAGCTGTCTGCACTTCTAAATGCCCAGAATTTTCCTCAGCTGTAATTAACCCTCAGATTCCAGATCTTCTTCGGCTAAACTCATGACATACTTCAAACAGTCAGAAATGCCTTAATTATTATTAATTAAAGAAAATTATAACCTTTGCTGAAGTTTAGCTCTCACTCTGTCTACTGGGGGAGGAGAATCTGATGGTGATTCAGCTGTCTGCACTTCTAAATGCCCAGAATTTTCCTCAGCTGTAATTAACCCTCAGATTCCAGATCTTCTTCGGCTAAACTCATGACATACTTCAAACAGTCAGAAATGCCTTAATTATTATTAATTAAAGAAAATTATAACCAATTAATGAAAATTATGTTTACTCAAATATAATAAATGAACAAATTACCCCACTACTTATATGTACAATCGATTTTTAATTACCCCATGCAAATTAACTAATTAATTATCCCTATATTCACATTTAATTGAGTTATTTCCACACAATCACCTCTCCTATGTATTAACAATTAATCAAGCTAATCAATCAATTGTAAACCACTAATAATTAATCAATTGTAAAACCCTAATGAATTACCCCCTTAATATTCAAATACAATCACCCCTACTATGTATCAGCAATTAAGTTATTCAATCAAATGTAACCACTAATGAGTTACTCAATTAATATTCAAGTACAATCGTCACTACTCTAATGAATCAGTCAAGTATAATATTCTATCTAAGGAATTAATTTATTCAAATGATCCCTGTAGAGTAACCAATCCAACATAACACAATCGTCCCCAAATTCTTTGTGCTGCCTAATACAAGGAAAGAATGGTAGCTAATTAAATAAGCCCATTAAAATAACTGAGAGGCCTAAAAACCAGCTATGCAGCTAGTAAAAGATCTGAACAGCAGGAGTCCTCCTTCAACCGTTGCCATCAATGGAAGAGGGGAAGGGGGAAAGGACCTTAAATAACCTTGTATTCCCCCCCCCTCTCCCTTGAATTACTCATGCAAGACTGTGAGGTCTCGCCTCATCTGGAGAAGAAGGCAAAGGCAAGCTGCACTGCCAGTGTGGCTTTTGAACTAATAGAACCTAAGGAGAAGCTGATTCACTAAATTCCCATTTAGTGTAATTTACTACACTAAGCAACAGGATTTTATCAATGCACACAAGTAACATATAAAACAAAATTTAAAAAATGCTCATTGGCCAAAATCGTGCTGTGGTTTTACACCAGTTTATCACATACAGCATCACTTCTGAAAGCCAATTGCCACAATTTAAGATATCAGCATAGATATCAGAAGTTGTCCGCTGAGTCCTGCAACTTAGCACGCAGCAAACAACATACAGTGGTGCCCCGCTAGACGCTTACCCCTGTAAACGATGAAATCACTTGACAATGACTTTTTTGTGATCGCTATTGTGAACGTAAAATGATGGTTCCTATGGGGGAAATTCGCTTTACGCTGATTAGGTCCTTGCTTCGCGAACCGTTTGTTGGCAAAATGATGTTTTTTTCTGGCTCCACAAAATGGCTTCTCTTCGCAAAATGGTTTCCCTCCCTTCGCAAAATGGCTGTTTTCCGGACAGAAGCTTCAGAAGACAGCGATTTTAAACAGCTGATTGGCAGTTCTCTATGGCCGATCTTCGCTGGATGATGAGGTATTTCCCCCTTGGAACGCATTGACGGGTTTTCAATGCATTCCAATGGTTTTTTTCCGCATGACGACGATTTCGCTGTACAGTGATTTTAACAGAACAGATTATCGTCGTCATGTGGGGCACCACTGTATCTGAGAATTTCTTAACTTCTAGCAAGTTTACACCAAAAGGTATGCCATTTGCATTACACTTGAGGGTGTAAGTGACTGCATTTCAGCTATTAGCAACAACATTCTTGCTTCTTCTACCAAACAAAGGGACTGGGAATTTTCTTTGCTATCCCTCCCAAGAAGAGAAGGTGAAGGTATTTTAAAATACAGTTGTGTATGTACACCCACCCACCCATCCATACTTCAGACAATTTGTGCGGCAAAGGCACAAGCAGACGTGAAATATTTGAAAGGCCTCTTAATGGCAACGCTGTCAGTTTAGTCACTGCCGTTTTTGCAGAAAGGAAGAATAAAGGCACCACTGACCAATTAGTCATACCTAAATGTGATCTGGTGACATTTTTGTTCCTCAGCTCTTGGTATAAAATGGTTGTTTAAGAAATGATTAGTGAGAAAGATAAGGAATGTGGCAGCACGACAGTGAAAATCCCCCCACAGCTGGAGGCTTCATAAAACAAAATGAACAGGTAGAGAATACTATGCTTTGGTCTTTGGTGGATTAGCATTGTATACAACGCACTCTTTGCCATCTGAAAATTACATTAATAGTTCTTTTTCTCACATTCTCTTTAGGCTAATTGTTACATTAATTCTCTGGATTGCAACAATGCATATGTGGAAATGTTATCCCATTGCCCCTCCTGTGGTAAGTAATGCACCTTATTGAGCTAGAAATATACAATGCGATTAATTTATGAAATATCATTTAGAGCTGTTTTAAACACTAGCACTGCTGAACGTATTGAACATAAATCTCACCATCACGTGATCTTTAGGTAAGTTTAACTGCAGCTGTAGACATTCAGCATTTTCATGTGTGTCGCTGTCTACAAAATTGTAACAATTTCTGCATAACGATTTCTGTGAGTCAACTGTAGTAATGTTATGTGAAGTATATTGTTCAGGTGACTGAAAAATGAAACTGAGAATTAAGATGTTCATTTCTCTAAAGCTGATTTATTATGCCTTTTTTATTTTCTCACTCTTCATTATATTGAGCAGTACAATCCTAGGTAAATTTACACAGTAGGAAGTCCTACTGAGTTCATGGAAGTTTATTGCCTGGTCGGTATGCGTAACATTGTGCCCTAGATGCTTTTGATTACACGAAAGTTATTCTGTGACTTCAGACCATTTAGGATGTTGTGAAGAAGGTAGAATGCCAATGCTAAATACATAGACCTATGGCTTAAAAACAACATATTCTTTTTTCTGACAGGTATGCTGACAGTTAGCTCCGCTTGGTTAATAAATGAGTGTGGTAGAGCAATTATTTCTTGAAGTTTAAAACCCATAGATGCATACTCAGCCAGCCAATAATATCAAATAACTATTGTGATAACAACTTGTTAAACCGTACCAGTACTACTGATTGGAAAGCTAACAACTGCAACTTTAGGCAACAAGGCAAGTGCATAAAAGTACAATCCTATCCATATTTACTCAGAAATAAGCACCCCAGTATTCAATTGGTGTTTCTGATGGCTAAATATGTATAGAATTTTAGCCTAAACCAGTCAGAGCTTCCCTATGCGAACATAATCCACCAATTTTGAGTGAAAACAAAAGCAATTTCATGTACTTTCAGCATTTATGTCTCTGAAAACCTATAGGCAACTCCATGACACACTTTTATGAAGGCAATGACTTTATGCCAACAGCTTCAAAGAACATATCATTCTATTTATTTTATCCTATTCTGATAAATTCTGTATGGTTTCCAGTCGATTTTTCAGCATTCCTAATCTAAGGTTAAATTTTCCTTTGATTTCTTGGATCTTCTGGATGAGTTTCTTTGGGTTTTCTCTCTCTCTTTTATTGTTCTTTCTTTGCACTCACCATTATAATAGTTTTCTTTGTCTTTTATGTGATAGCTGTTCAGGATTCTGACCTCAGTTCTGTCACCTTTTACTTTTTCTTCTTGCGTGTAAACAGTTTCAAGTGCTTCTTCCATCAGGCATCTGAGCTAGTATTTTTGCATTGTTCCCTAATAATGTCTCTGGTTGTAATCCACAGTACAGATTCACTGTATATTAAGTTTAGTAATACAAATCTGCTTTTTATGTACACTTTAAATTCATTAGAAATGATATTTAAATTCTATTTAGGCACAATGATTCTTTTACTGTAATGTTCTTTTTCATAGTCAGTATCACAATGTGCTCCTGGTCTTGTTTGAGGGAGAGAATACAGTTTTTTCATTTCTTACTTCCAATAATGTAGACATTTGATTTCTATATGGGCCATTTGGTGATCTCCAGGTATATAGTCATCTGTTTGATTGCCTAAAGCATGTATTTGCAATAAACAGATTTTTGGTTTCATAGAATTCAGTGAGTTGTTCTCCTGCTTTGCTTCTGATTTCTAGGTCAAATTTAGTTCTGCTTTGTTTTTTACTTTTGCATTCCGGCCACCTACAGTTATCTGTATGCCTTGTTTCGGTGTATGATCAATTTCTTCCTGAACACTTGCATAACATCTTTTTTCTTCTTCAGCACCTGTAGTTAGAGCATAGATTGAATGATGGCTATGTTGATAGGTTTTCCAAGAAGTTTGACTAATATCATTTGGTCAGACTTCGCATTTTAGCCGCTAGCTGCCTGTGCGACATCTTGACTCAGTATTAGAGCCACTCCATTTCTTGAGTTTCTCATTTTCGCTATGTAGTTGTCCAACTGAAAATGTCCAGTTCCAGTCCACTTTAGTTCACTCATACGAAATACTGTTACGTTTAAATACTCCACTTTTTTATGGTTTACAATTTACCTTGATTCACACTTCTCACATTCTATGTTCGAACTATATGTACCATGCAGCAAAAGATTTTCCTTTCACCTCTATGCATGTCTACCACTTAAATGTCCTTTCAGGTTCAATCTCATTGTGTCATTAGTGACAGAGCTGCTTGTACTTGTCCTCTGAGGGGAAAACTCCATCAGGTGACTAATTTGTGACAATAATAGTCATGGTACAGAGAATTTTTTTTTAAAAAAAATCTATAGAGTTCTTAATTCATCACTTTTCTTCTCTCAATATTATTGCCACAAATCAGTCACCTGACAGAGTTTTCCCACTGTTCCAAAGCTCAGCATAGATTTAAACAGCAGCAGCAGCAGCAGCAGCAACAACAACAACAACAACAACAGAGGCTAATTTGCTTTGTGGAATTCAAACATTAGTGATTGTGCAAACATATCATCTCACCTGCAGATTTTTAAGACTTGATTCCTAATGCTTAAGCTTGACCGTTGGTCCTCTGCAGGGTTGAGAAATATAATAATGATAATAATGATAATAATGATAATAATGATAATGATAATAATAATAATAATAAGAATAAGAAGAAGAAGAAGAAGAAGAAGAAGAAGAAGAAGAAGAAGAAGAAGAAAATAGTAAGAATAAGATTAAGAATAATAGTAATAATAGTAATAGTAATCATCATCATCATCTGAGCTCTGACTTTTACACTAATGTATTCTGATTAGAGTACTCTTATTCTCCACCCAGCTTTACCATGGCCTTGTTGCCCAGTCCCCCAAAGACTGCTTCTATTCCCAGGCTACAGTACATTCTTCTGAGGTGAAAGGAAACATGGAAGATCATCACTCTGTGCACACCTTGCATTCACAGGGACTCAGGTTCAGCCCCTGATATCTCTCAGCAAGGTGTGGAAGTCTCCTCTTAAAAATGGTGACTGTAAATATGAGGTGAGAACAGGGCTGAGAAGAGGATTCATGTATCTTCTTGAAGCCCTAAGACTGGGTGGGGAAAGTAACCCTTTAAACATCAGCACCTGTAATGTGCTCTAAAGCAGTGGTCTCCAACCTTGGGCCTCCATCAAACATTATAAGATAAAACAGTTAAAAGCAATTATAAACAGTAATTATCAACTTCCAGAAATCCTGGCCAGCAGAGGTGGTGGTAAGTCTTCTGGGAGTTGTAGTCCAAGAACATCTGGAAACCCAAGGTTGGGGACCACTGCTCTAAAGCTTTGGCTATATAACTCTTCTGTCAATGAGAATAAACTTATTGTTAGAAGATTAATCACAACATGTTTCTAGCTTGTTCCTCAGCACAATCTCTACTACTAACCATTACTAATTATTATTGTTTATAATTGTTTATAATTGCTTTTAACTGTTTTATCTTATAATGTTTGATGGAAATCACCCGGAGTAGACTTTGTCTAAAAGGGCGAAATAGAATAAATAAATAAATAAATAAATAGCAGGTAAACTGTGCTTTCATATCTATGGGTTTTATACAAACATGACATAACCATAACCTAGAGCTAATACAAATTCACCCATGTTTTCAAAAACCTAGATGAGTTTGTGCTTGTGTGTGTGTGTGTGTGTGTGTGTGTGTGAGTGAGAGAGAGAGAGAGAGAGAGACAGACAGACAGACAGACAGACAGAGAGAGAGAACTTGTGACAATTGTATAAATGTGTATCAGGGTTTCCCCTTATTTATTAATTTGTTTTTCTTTCTTTTCTTTCCTTTCCTTTTTTTTTATTTTTTATTTTTAGCTTCAGGGAAGTAATCTTTTTTATTTCAATTGCCAGCTGTCTGGGAAATCTGATTACTGCCTTCTCCTGCTGAATAGTTGCCCAACCAAGTTGGATGGCTCTGAAGATTTGGCATTGTTAAAGTCTCTGCTTCAGAAGTCTTACATTAAAAGATCCTTTCGGAATGGGGTTGGATCAGGAATTAAAAAAACAACCTTGAGAAGAGCGAAGTCATAAACAAATGCCTGAGGAAACATTCATGGATCAGAACATACAAGATTTAACTTAATGTGCTGAAAAGCATTTGTTGTGCATTTCAAATGATGAATGAAACCAACAGAGACACCTGTATCACTTTCATAATGTAAACATAATGTTTATTTGCAATGCTGCAAGCCAGGTGATTGTTCTGAACAGGCATTTCTTTGAAAATAGTAATAGTGCACATTTTATGCATTTTATAAAGCATTTTCACTTTAATTCCAAAGGCAGATTTTGTGCCTTTAAAAAAAAACACCCTGTGTTTTGAATATGTCATTTCAAACCATCTTCATAATCTGAATGTGCTTTGCCCTGATAAATAGCTCTGCTGACATGTTTCTTATATGATGCTTTGAGACAATCTCATTCATGGGATAGCAGCGTGCATTTGGATAAATGTGAGTTAAATGGGGCTATATGAGATAGAAAGCAATGTTAGGAAATGGAACTCTCCATATTACAGGCTCCACAATAAAAATATTTCAGATTACTTTTTGGGAAATTCAGATAGAGTTAAAGTGATCATTCTTTGAAAATGAATGCATACTGAGATGAAAATGTTTTTATCCAATCACTTTTGATTTCCATTTTGAAAATGATGGCTGTGCTACAGTAGAAACGAACCAATTTTAATCTTTACATGAATGCCAGAGCAGGCAATACCTTTACTACTCCACTTAAAAAGCAAATAAGGAGCAAACTTTCACGGGTGAAGTTCACTTCCTCAAGTGCTTACTCGGGGTGCCAAATGCTACCAGGGGCAAAGTTTGAAACCTTACCCCACAAAGGCTGTTTGCAGCCCATGTTTGAACTCATCTCTCGGAAGCAGATCGGGCACACCCACCTGTCATGGATTCTTGGGACTCTCGTTTATATATTTTCTGCACTATACACAAAATATTGGTGCATGGCCTGAGGAGGTGGACTTGACCCATAAAAACGTGCTGTTTATTCCATTGTTTTAGTGGTCTAATACAGGCATTGCCTGCTCTTGCACTTTTTAGGAACCACGCAGCCCTTTCCTATTTTAATCTTCAGATCTTTCTTTCTGTTTCTTTGCTGCGCTGAAATAGACATGGTTAGCTGTGCAGTCTCAAAACATAGTCTTTTTTGTCAACAAGAAAAGGTCATCTGCTGAGATACATTATTTGTGTGACTTTTCGCTTGTGGCCATGTGATGTTACAAACTCTGTGTGTCAGCATGAAAATGTTCTGCAGGGCTTTGATCAGATGCATTTTGAATGTGGAGCACAACTATTCATCATTGTATGGAATAGTTTCAAAACTTCTATTTAAACAAGAAAATTTTGTTAATAAAAACAAATGTGGACCCTGGATAATAAAGTTAATTTGTTTGATGTGCCATAAGGGAACAATGTAATTAATGTGGGTCTTTTCATATGAATAAAGTTTATGTATGTGCTCAGTTGTAGATGTATGTATGTATGTACAATATGTATGTACTGTATTTGGTAGCAGGAATGCACCAACAAGTATGACAGATTTGGGGCAGAATCTTTGGTATAGTTTAAAATGCAGCGCTTCTTTCTAATGCATGTTAATTTAGCAATATTTTCAGAGGGTCAGTGGAATGTGCCCCTCCAAAGGAAACATCATTGTTACTCTCTGACTTCCACATATTTGGAGAACCAGTGCTTGGGGAGAATAATCCACTAGTAATTCATAAGTAGAGACATGGGCCAAAATCCTATCAACATTTGCATAAACTTTGTGTAACTTGCTATTACTGGTTGTAGCTAGTTGATGAGATGTTTGGATGCATCTCAGTCATGTGGCTGGTCATGTACCAGATTGCACAACTCAGATGCAGTCCAGCATCTCATCAGCTAGCTGCAGCAACTTACAGTATACAGTGGTGCCTCGCTTAACGATTGCTTTGTATAATGAAAAATTCGCTTAACGATTTTTTCGGAGCGATCTTGCACTTCGTTTAACGATTTTCCCTATGGGCGATTTTCGCTTAATGATTTGGGACCATGCTTCACTTAACGTTTTTGGTTTTAGGTTCCCTTGTTTCGCTTAACTTTTTTTGACAGCCTCGTTTTTGCTATTTTTAAAATATTCACAAATGTTTAAAAATGTTTAAAATGCTTGGAATCATTAATGCACCTAATAAAACCTTCGTTAACTTAATTTGGCTTTGTTCTGAGTCTTTTTGAAATTTTTGTGAATTTTTTCCCCCCATTGAAATAGGCTTCAATGCATTTCAATGGAGGAACCGCTTTTCGTTTAATGTTTTTTCCTATGGCGATTTTCGCTTAAGGACTGTAATCCGTTCCAATTGGCACGGATTATCTGGTTTTCAATGCATCTCAATGGGAAATGGTGTTTTGCTTAACGATGTTTTCACATAGCGATTTTTTTTGAACCAATTAAAATCGTTAAGCGAGGCACCACTGTATATGCTTTACAGGAACACCAACTGGATTCAAACCATTGATTTTTGTGTATGTCAAGAATTTCCCATAAAAACAGCACTTTTGCTTTAGACAACCTTAAAATACAAAGGAAAGGAAATCAGCAGAGAAGCAGTGCCATTTCAGACTTTTGAAGGGCATGTGAAGAGCATGGATTTAGTAGCTCTCCTCATCATTACCTATTCTTTTGCCTCAACAGTGATACATCCCAGATAGAGGACAAAGTGTGTAGATGTTTCTTTTTTGGAAATGAAAGATGTTTCTTTCCTTTTACTGCTTGCTTGGAGAGTACCAAGAAAGAACAATGGGAAGGAAAGGCAGGCAGCAGGACCAGCAGATTAAATTGAAGTTGTTCTTATCAGAGGCACGAGACTCATACGATACTTGGCATCAGCTTTACACAGGAACTCCTTGGGTCAACTTAGTGATATACACAAACAGTAAGTATGAAGCAACTTTAAAGATGAAGGAAATGGGTGAGAGACATACATCACTGATAAAGGGAAGACTTGAATTTTTCTTCCCAATATGCCACTAAAAATGAGCCGTTCTTGAAACCATGCTACTTTAGTATCTTAAGAAGTGGCTCAATTGAGATCAGACAATCTCCAGATTATCTATAAATCTTGGGAAACTGGGTTTTCCTTTTTTGCTACTGTTTTGACCCCTTGATTTTATTCATGAACGAATGAGGATCAGTGGAGATAACTATGCACTCAAGGTCAGTCCCCTAGGAGAAATAAATCAAACCAATTTCTCATCACATGGTCACAGTTGTGACCAACCCATCTCTTGCATTTAACAAGATCTCTGGATCAGATGTTGTAGGATGTGTTCATGGTAGCCATTCCTCTAAAATACCTTTACAAGTAATGAGAGGGACTACAGAATCGTCCAATAAGGAATGACCTTGATATATTGCTCCTAAATTTTATCACTTTTAAAAAACCCATGCCGTGCCCCCTTTAACAGCAGTCCAGAACACAACTAATAGCATGGTTTGCCTACATGAAAGGGAAAAAAATGAAAGGAATAATCCACTGAGACAAGAACACAAGAGATGGGAGAAAAGAACATTTTACAGCTTGCTGTATCATGACAAAAAAGGCAATTAGATAACTAGATATAAAAGCACATTATTGACTTACAAGATTGAAACTTAGTTATTATAATGATATAAAGCAAGTTTGATTATTACCAGGCATATATTTAAGAAGAGATTCTTTCTGTTTAGATTTGCTAATTTACTTTTATTTGCATATATATGGGCAATTTAGTACCACAAACCACTGTAAGCATAATAGGAAATAGTCTCTTGCCACTTTTAGATCTAAATATAATTTTGATTTCTGGAAGAGCTAGACAGATGTGAAAAAAGTATATTAGTTATTATTAGCATAATAAAAATACAAATAAAAATCACTGGGCATAAAGAAACTGGCACAACCCTTAGATTGTTGCCTTTCAAAGCAAATAAAAAATTATAATGCACCATAGATTATTTCCAGGATTTCAAAGTTTCAGTGCGGGATTTGATTTCTAAAATCAAAATGTTTATACAAACTGAGAATTATAATTTCACCTGCTAACTAAATTGCTAGAAGTTTAACATTAGGGATATATCTTGGAAACAACTCCACATTTGTTCTCTAAAATTAGTTTCAAAGTCAAAACGTGTGCTGCCCAACTTTGGAATTTTTGGGCTACATTTCCCAGAATCTCTTGGGCAGGATGGATTTAATGATTATTCACAAAACATCTTGTTCTCTATGACTTTTTTGACTCTCACCCTGCCAAGATTAGTTTCTGAGGCTTCTTGAAACCAATGCCTTATTGATTGGTTGGTTGGTTGGTTGGTTGGTTGGTTGGTTGGTTGGTTGGTTGGTTGGTTGGTTGGTTGGTTGGTTGGTTGGTTGGCATCTTGTTCTCTATGACTTTTTTGACTCTCACCCTGCCAAGATTAGTTAGTGAGGCTTCTTGAAACCAATGCCTGATTGATTGATTGATTGATTGATTCCCATGAAAACAGAAGCCTGCTCTTCTCCCCCATCGTACTTTTCATTTTACCATTTGATCTGTGCAGGAAACCACCATATTCTGCTCAGCTTAGTATCCTTCCTGTTTAAACCTGCACAGGAAAGGTGGCATTCTTTGCAAGAATTGTAACAAACCTGAAAAGTGTGGAATCTCTTTTTTCCATTTCCACATGAAACCTGTGCAAAAAAGATACTATTCTGTTGAAGGAATTGTAACAGTTAGGCACAGCTTGGCATTTCTTCCAAAACGAAAAACCATAAAATGTCTGAGAAATCCTGTGAGATTTTCCAGAAGATTTGTTGAGTGGGCAGGAAGAAATATTGTACTAAGAAATTTCTTAGTGAACAGAAAATAGGGTGCCTCCCCCAATTTCTGTCTCAGAACTAGAGGCTGCGAGAGTCATATACCTACACTAATGTCATTTTTGTAGTCTAGACAGAGAATGATGGCAGGATTTAGGGCACAAATGCCCGTGTGGGATTCATTTCCCATTCTTGCAAGCTTTTTATTGGAGCCAAAGCTGGGAATTTGATTCCTCATGGTGCCTCCCAGGTGAAAAGTCAGTCTCTGCAGCCTTGGGCAAGCTCCACAGTCCAAGGGCGTCCTGAGAAGAAGGGAATGATAAACCACTGTACCAGGAGAACTCCAGAACGGGCCACCATAAATCAGAATTGACTTGACAGTATGTAATTACTAAGCTGATTTCAGATGAAAACTAATTGAGGAAGACCATTGCTTCAAATGTGATTTAAATGATATTCAAGTTTTGTTTTCAAAAAATCAGAGAGAGAGAGAGTTGCCTCAAAAAAAAAGTTTATGATCAGTGGAATAGTGGGAAATTTTGAAGTGCAAGCACTGTAGCTAGCCCCTCATCTCCTCCCACATGAAGGGTTTGAAAAATGAAGATTCAGTTCATACCAGTGAATGAATTGTAGGAATTTTATTTTTATCAGGAAGAGATTCTTCTTTCTAAAGTCAATAGCTCTTAATTGCCCATTAAAGGCCAAACCATCTTCAAACACTTTCATTACAAGAGAGATCATATGTAACCATATATTGTTACAGGAAAAATCCATTTCCCTCCCAGTTACTATGGAGATTGCAGCTTAAAAAAGGAAGCAGGGAACCTGATGAGATTGCCAGATGATGTTCTAGTTCCTACTGCTTAGAAAGTTTTAGGACTTCAAATCTGTGGGCCATGCCCAATAATCATCAGCTTCTATGCTGATGTAGTTCGTTACATGACTGAGGATGTTGAAAAATCAGGGTTCTTGGTTGCTTAGAAAAGTTGTATATATAACACACTGTTTTACTTTCAGCTTGTCAGTCTTCATTGTGGAGATAGCAAAAGGTAGAGGGCAGAGTTCAAGCGTTCTCCGTGCTCAGATTCACTGTTTTTTGAACACTGATGTGTTTTGGAAGCAGATTTTCCACAATGAAATGGGGAACAAGTGTAAGACCATTTAAAACAAGCTTTTGTGGCTTGGGATAAAGATCCAGAAGATGGGTGTTTGTTCAGTTCTATTCTTCCAGTATGTTTTCAGCAGTACTAGGTGGCTACTACCTTCCGTGTGAACTATGAGCACGTATTCCATCACAACAATGTCCAAATTTTCTGGGCTATATCAGCCCTCTTAGAAGCACAACATCCCCTTCCAAAAACTTTCATTAGGGATCATTGGTCTAGCTCTCACTTTTATGCATTTAATAGTTCAAATGCATGCTTTTAAAATACTCCTGCTACTTGTTAATGAACTTTTTAAGAATACTAGAAGAGAAAAGATAGAGTGACAGATGCTGCCTTTCATGACCTCCAAAGCCAACTGTGTGAGGCAGCCACTTCCCATTTCCTAATGACGGGGCAGGTCCTATCATGAAGATGTTAAGGGCTTTTAGGATGCTCGGCTCAAGCCCTTAAATATTAGTTTAAGATGCAGAATGACTTAGTCCCAGTCAAGGTGGACACAAAGCCCTTGGAAAGAAAGGGAACAATAGGCAACATGGGCTCTGTTCTGAAATGTAAGCTCAGTGTCTAAAACCCACGTAGGCATTTATTTTTACTACTCATATATTTCTTTATTGCATAAGTAAGCAGACAAAAGTATTTATTAAGAAGCAAAAACTGAACTCTCTTCAGTGCTGGCTAGAAAGGAAGTATCAAGCAGAGCTGACACTTGTACTTTGGGAATATTCTCTGTTCTTGCTCAGAGAACAAGAAGAATTTTCAAGAATCCAAAATGACCTTGCC